GTGGTTCTCAACCTTTTTAATGCCGTGACCCCCAACCGGTCTTAAGTTGAGGACTACCCAACCAGTCGTAAGTTGAGGACTACCCAATCGGTCGTAAGTCGAGGACTTTCCCTGCCCAGGACCACCGCACATGCGTGGTGCTGCCCCCTGCGCTGGCTGAGGCGTAGCTGGCAAGTGGCAGAGATGGAGCAGGCCGATCACTGGCTGGGCCGCCAGCTGGCCCAGCCCAAGGGAGGTAAGGCACCCGCTGGGCCCCACGCATGCCAGCAACCCTCCCTGCGCCCGCCGGCCTCCCACCTCCCACCCCTGGCCTTACATTTTTAGTAGTTGCTCAGCAGGGAGGGGTGGAAACTTCCAGACAGCTTGCCTTCGCTGCAGACAACTTCAGCACCGTTTGCAGAATGGGACTTTTGGTGGGCTCAGCAGGCCAGAGACAGCCTGGACAATTCCTATTGGCTTTTGAAAGCCAATAGAATTAGACTCTATTCAAGAGAGTCTATTCTATTGGCTTTCAAAAGCCAATAGAATAAAAGGGAGTAGCACAGCTAAGGAAAAGGGGGAAAAAATGGCGGACTGCGTTGTTTGGCGACCCCCGTGAAATGGTCGTTCAACCCCAAATAGGGTCCCGACTCACAGGTTGAGAACCACTGCTTTAAATCATATAAAGTAACATACTCTTGATATTTTGGATTAGATAGAACACATAAAAAGCTGTGATGTGAGATCACTGGCCAGTTTAGGTTTGGTATAATCTGGAGAGTTCTCTGATAAATACGTGGGTGAATATGTTGAAGGCCTAGCTTGCTGCTGGTATCATACAACTTGGGCCCGTGACAAAATCATCCCCTTGCGTGGTTTGTCTCTGTAAGCCAATTCCAGATGGTTCCTTGGATACCTAGACTCTTTAAGAAATAAAGCAATGGAAACAGCATCTAGAGCAGACATGTCAAACTCACAACATCACGTGACGTCACGCAACATATCAGAGCTTTTTCCCCATTGCCGGCAATGGGGTAGGCGTGGTTTCCTAGTGACGTGTCCGGCCCGCGGTCCGGCAGTTTGACACCCCTGATCTAGAGTGTCAGTGGATCAGTAAAGCAATCTGAACACAAGTATGAGCCCATGTTCAGGCTTAATCTGTAGCAATAAGAGGAAAACACTGGTTGCTTCTTAATTTGGTGACTTGTCATTCACGTGGCCATGTTTCAAATGGTCAATTTTCTATTAGAGAAAAACCACACTAAGATTCTTCTCGGTCAGGACAATCAGACTGTGGAATAGGGTGCTGGAGACACCTGAAAGAAAGCTTTGGTAGTCGGACCTCCTCCTCAAGAGGGCCTCTCTGAATCTGAAGGTACTGGGAAATTACTGGTTAGTCTCCTACCATCACTTTTGGTTGTTGGGATAGAAACAACTACAAAGCACTTTAGGGTAGGGGTCTGCAACCTTAACAACTTTAAGACTTGTGGACTTCAGTTCCCAGAATTCCTCAGCCAGCATAGCTGGCTGAGGAATTCTGGGAGCTGAAGTCCACAAATCTTAAAGTTGTGAAGGTTGCAGACCCCTGCTTTAGAGGAAATGGATTAGCTATCACATTATGTTCAGGCCTGGAAAGGGAATAGAGATGGCATTGTCTGTATTAGGTTTTGTTGACAACTGGACTGATATGTCCACCCCAGTCTTTATACACTTCTCCGGCCCCTTTAGTATCATTCATTTTGGTATCCTTCTGGACACTCTGCAAGAGTTGGAGCACTGTATGGCAATGGTTCTATTCCTTCCTTAGCAGATGGCTCTACTTAGTCTGATAGGGCAGGAGAAATCTGAAGCAATTTAAAAGCTACATAGCTTGGTGTGTAGTTGTCTAGAGCAGTAGTTCTCAACTGGTCAGTGGATCCTGGGGATCCACGATGTCACAGGGGATCCACAAAGGCTTGAAGAAATGTTATGATTTAAATCTTGAGTTAAAGCTTGGTGGGCCATGGCCATGGTCTGTGACCACGAAAAGTATTTAAAGAGGGTCCATGGTGAAGAAAAGGTTGAGAACCACTGAACAAGAGAACTGATTCTCTTATTGGAATCAGCCTGTCCAGCATAAACTACCAGCAGTGTCTCACGTTAGAGCAGTGGTTCTCAACCTTTTTAATGCCGTGACCCCCAACCAGTCGTAAGTCGAGGACTACTCAACCGGTCGTAAGTCGAGGACTACTCAACTGGTGCAGCACTGTTTGCAGAATGGGACTTTTGACGGGCTCAGCAGGGCAGAGACAGCCTGGACAATTCCTATTGGCTTTTGAAAGCCAATAGAATTAGACTCTATTCAAGAGAGTCTAATTCTATTGGCTTTCAAAAGCCAATAGAATAAAAGGGAGTAGCACAGCTAAGGAAAAGGGGAAAAAAAATGGCGGACTGCATTGTTTGGCGACCCCCATGAAATGAGAACCACTGCGTTAGAGAGCTGAAGGATACTGAGGCTTAGCAGTTCTGTTCTTTTGAGGGGCTGGGTCTTCTAGTGAAGATCCAGTCATTAACCTGCCTTCCAGAAGCTTTAAACAATGCTTTAAGAATTGATTGGATTAGGTAATTTGGTATTATTAATTTTATTCTATGTTGTCTTTGGTTTGATATTTTAATTCTATACTTTTACTGTATATGGTTTATGGTGTATTTTATCTTGTAAACTACTGAGAAAACTTAGGGATTAGTGGTCTATAAATGCGATAAATATTCTTCTAATGTCATAAGAGCCATGTGAAAAAAGGCAGATTTTTTTTAAAGTCTGGATTTACATAGTTAAGTTAAACTATGTAAGTTTAATTATTAAATTTATAACTGGTTATGAATTAAAGTATTAGTCTCTATCTATCACAGAAAAAAGAATCTCTATAATATTCAGGTGAAAAATACTATGTAGCATTTCCTGGATGTCTTGAGCCTTCCTGATACGTTGATTACTAAACTTGAATCTATTTTTTTGAGATCACAATACAATCTTTTGAATTTTATTCCTATAATAAAGCTGCTAGAGATATTGTTGACATAACTGTAGCAGTGCTTTGGAAAATGTACTCATCCATCTATAGCACTTATGAGCTGGATCATCCATCATTCTGTGAGGTCAGCTATTAATGTCACTTTCAAGTATGATTTATGCTTTTGATTCTAATCAGAAAGCATATCTATTTTGTAGTTTTTATAGTATGTTAATTTGATGCTGCTGTATTTAAAAATACATCAACATTCTAACTACAGAAGACATGGATAATCTACACTGAATGCTCAAAGTCTCAAAGGTGTATTTATGCCATTAGTTGTATTTTAACTGTAGAAGCAGGCAGCTACTTTAGGTGTGTATACACACACACACATATATACACTTATAATGTATACTATCACTGTTGTCTTTTAGCAATGCCTAGATGTAGTGATGCCAAATGATAGCAACACCAGGAACAAGGAATATGAGAAGTTGGAGAAGTACCAAAACTTGAAAGAGGACCTAGAAAGGATGTGGAAAATAAAAGGTAAAGTGGTCCCCAGGGATGATAGGAGCACTCGGGGCTGTGACTCCTAAGCAGAAGACTGGCCCCAACAGATCCCAGGAACAACATAAGAGGGGTGTGTGTCACCTGTGAGGCAGCCAGTAGAAGGAAATATGAAATTCTGGTGATTCAGTGCTGAAGACAAGGCAAGATAATGGCTCAATTCCAATATCATAACTATGTGTTGAGCTACTCATTGCTCAGAATCCAAACTAAGGTGAAAACAATTTGTTCTCATTTTCTATCCACTCAGCAATTGCTTTCATAGATCTCTCTACTTTTCTACATTCTTTGGATGAAAAACAGTAACAATTATTCTGACTTATTAATCTGAATATCACCTGAAACCAATTTGTACAAATGAGGAGTTACAAACAACTTTATGCTTTCCAGTTGTGATCTGCCAACTTATACAAAACAGGATTTATCAGTTCTGATACTATACCTATGGTTAAGATTACCTAATTCTTATTAGGCATGTCTAAATTAAACCAGAAAGGTTAATCAAAATAAAACATTCTGTTCTCAGTAATAACTGTAGAAAGAATATACTGTGACTGTCCAGTCGCATAATCATAATCATGGATATGAAAAGCACTTAAATGTACTGACACTGTACCATACACAGCCTTGTTCTGGAATAACTAGAGTTCTGTTAAAGCAAAATATCTATTACTAGGCAATTTGGGAGTGACATTGTATCAATACTCTTTTTTTCCATAGTGCTTTAACTTTTCATCAGTAACCATTCCTAGTTTTTGTCTTTAACATTTTATAATTGAAATTTACATCTACTAGAATTTATTTATTTTAGCACTAGGCAGCTACTTTTCCCATTCCAATACACAAATTAAACCTGCCTATTAAAGATACCATCACCTCATCCATTAAATAAGCATTACAAGGAGTTACTGTAAACAGAAATAAAAATCAAAAGCTTTGTTTACAGTTCGGGACAGGTAGTGAAAACTGGTCTTGAGAATTTAGATTCCCCATCTTCACAGCTATCTAACTTTTCCCGATACAATTTACTTTCCTTTCAAACTTAATCCCACACAGTAAAAGGCTTCCATGCTTTTAACACCTCAAACGTATTAAAAAAGCAAGTATAGATTTACCTACTTCCAATACTAGAGATTTTACAAACTGGAGGTGTTTAGCCGAGAGTATTTGCCCGGTTTAATTCAAAAGTTTTGTAGAAAAGAGCTCCAGGACCGGGTTGGGAACGCATAAAGAAAAGGCTAACTCCTTGCTCGGAACGGGGAGGCAGCCCGCATACCGGGCCACAAAAACCCTGGAGGAGGAGGGGGGGGGTCTTGAAGACATGGGAAAGCGAGGCTCCTGGGCGTGGGGTGGAGTCTCTGCCCGTCTCGTCCCCCCCCCCCTTCTGTCCCATCGCCGCACTTTTGTCTGAAAGCGCGGAGAGTCATAACTCTCTTTCCACGAGCTGCGACTCACCCTTTACGAAGCGGGTCACAAGATCGGCAGCAAAATCCCGGTCGGGGGGAGACTGACGACGCCAGCGCCTCATTCTATGCCCGCCAAGAAGGGGGCTCCGACGAGCGCTTCATCCCTCGCGAGGGATGCGACGCGCGTTTTCAATTTGCGAAGAGGGCTGGAGGAAACGGGAATTAAGGGAAAACTCTCCCACACACACACACACACCTCGCTTCCCTTCTGAGAGGGAGGGGCCAAAATAAGAGAAGAGATTGCCTCAACTCTCTGCAATTCCAAACTCACAGAAAGGGTGGGGAGGGGGCAGAGACACTCGCCGCTTCTAATTAAAAGCCCCTATCGCCCACCTCGCCTTCCCCCCCCCCCGGAATCACGGTTAGCGAAGAGGACTGCGCATTTGTCCCCAAAATGGGTTTCGGGGCTTCTCCCCCTCTCCCCTCCGTCCCCTTCTCTTTCTCTCTCTCTCCGTCTCTCCCCTCCCCCACTGCCGACCCCCGGACTTACCCCTCGCCACATTCCATCTGCCTGGTTGGGCCAGCGCGCGCATGCACAATCGCGCGCAACCGCTAGCCGTGCTTACCGCCCAGCCTGTCCTTGGGCGAGGATTATGGTAGTAGAAAGCCGCTCGGCTGGGCTTCGGAGCCAGGCAATCCCTTCCCCCCCTCTCGCGTTCCCGAGTGTACGAGAAGTTAGCCCCGCCCAAAAGGAGGCGGGCGCAAATTATTATTATTATTAATAATAATTAATAATAGTGCTACGGCCGGGGTTGCTTGGGGGGCGATTAGGATCTCTCTCTCTGTCCGAGCCGCAGAACTGATTGGCTTTAGCGGTAACCAGTGAAGGAACAGAGAGAAAAACAATATCTTTCCTTGGAGGATTTATGGAACAATAATAATAAAATGCAGGATTGGTTTGATCCCGAGCCAGATTCCTTCACTCCTCATCTCCTTGGTAGCTCTTTAATTACGAATTTGAAGTTTGCCCCTCCTCCAGAACAAAACAGAATAATGGCGATGCTCTTACAAAGCGAACTGTTTTGTTAAAAGCATTGGAGTTTTGAGAGAAAGTTGCAATCGGGATCAACCGGGAGTTTTTGAAAGGCGGAAAGGATCCGCTTCTTGGGTGGGGGCAGACGAACGTCTTTCGTAAAATAGTGCAAAAATCTGTTAATTCGTGGGAAGAATTTACAGTTTTGTGATCCAAATCTTTTTCTCTGTCACCTGTCCTATTTTCTCATGCTCCTGTCTTCCTAACAATTCCTCTTTCTTCCCCCAACCTATTGGCAAGTCCACATGCCAACAGCCTCCGTTCTTCATTTCTTCAACAATAGCATTAGTAATAATGTTATTAAAAACTGGACATACACTCTTGTATTCATTCGAACAAAATATTAAAACTGTTTATACTCAGTGTGTTTTGCATGAAAGATAACTAATAGCAGGAATTTCTTTTGTGTATCCTTTTCATAGTTTCCTATTCTTAATGATTTACAGAGCAAATTCTTCAAAAGAATAATGACATTAATGGATAGATTAAGACATCCTTCCTCAGGCAACAGAAGTTTAATGTACAAAAAAGCAGACACCCATTACATTTGTATATTTGTATGCTGCATGGTTTACATACTAAAACTGCAGTTCCAAATGTCTGGAAGTCATCCCTTTTGAAGTGGGTGTTTTGGGACAGTTTTTTAAATTTTGTTTTTGAGCAAGCACAGTATTGCTTTTTTACACCAAGGCAGGAAAAAACCAAATCTACAAGTACAGATTAAGCAAAACCTGGCTGAAAAACTGTGGGAGAGACCTTGAAGTTCTAATGGACGATCACTTGAACATGAGCCAGCAGTGTGTGGCAGCAGCCAAAAAAGCTAATACAGTCCTTGGTTGTATAAACAGATGCATAGAATCAAAATCACGTGAAGTATTAGTACCACTTTAGTACTGCCTTAGTAAGACCACACTTGGAATACTGCATCCAGTTTTGGTTACCACATTACAAAAAAGATGTTGAGGCTTTGGAAAAAGTGCAAAGAAGAGCAACTAAGATGATAAAAACATGTGAAGAACAGTTTCAGGAAATGGGTATGGCTTGTCTAGAGAAAAGAACTAGAGGGGCCATGATAGCCGTATTCCAGGGGCCACCACAAAGAAGAGGGGATCAGTTTATTTTCCAAAGCACCAGAAGGCAAGACAAGAAACAATGGATGGAAATTAATCAAGGAGAGAAGCAACCTGAGAACAATTAACCGGTGGAACAGCTTGCCTTCAGAAGTTGTAAGTGCTTCATCAGTAGAGGCATTCAAGAAGAGACTGGACAGCCGCTTGTCAGAAATTGGATAGTGATCAGTTATTAATTCCTATAAGTAAGATTAGCTTTAACTGCACCAGTGCCATCCTAATTAAGCTGAATATGGATTTTTAAATTTGTGTTTTTCTTTAAATACACATATTCTTTTCTTTTTTTCTTTATTTTGTTCCCTGATGTATTTCTCTTTTTTTTAAACCTTTTGTTTGACTAAAAAATTTTTTAAAGAAAGTATAATTTACAACATTGTGCAGTAATAAATGATGCTTATAATTATCATTAATAGACCATTGATGTATACATTGTGAATTTTATGTTGGATTGATGCAATGAAATAAATTATTTTTCATTTATTCCAGATTCCTATTCCATTATTTCAGAATGGTTTCCTGTCTTTTGAATGAGAGGAATAAAAAGAAAGTATAATAAAATATAAATTATTTCTTGCAGAGGTAATAATAACATTATCAAACAGCATCATAATAATTATTTTTCAATTCCTGACTTTAAAAATATTAGAAGTTTCTGAATTCCATGTTTACAAAGGAAAAAATGATTATATTGCATGTAATGTACGAGTATGGTACCTTTTAATTTGCTCTAAATCTTTAAGAAATAATATTTTATTTTAAAAAACTAAAAAATTATAGAAAATTAGTCAAGTTTGGGATCTTTGATAGATGAGTGATCCATTAAAAAAAAGCAGAATTAACTGAAAGCAGTTATAAGGTGAACACATGAAACAGCCTAATACTGAAAAATGTTTCTTCACTACAGACTTCAATTATTGATAACCTGTCACTTAACACAAAGCCAGATATCTCACAAACACAGCATTGTCGGCCTTGGCTATTTCATTAGGAAAGGAAATCTATTTTTAACCAAAGGGTGTATTCACTTGACATTGTAATAATTTTTTTTCTCTGACCATTAAGAAGATGTCATAATTACAATTTAACACTTAATGTACTTCTTCTAAGAAATTATATTAGATTGCTTTTTGTTTTCAATAATTAAAATATATTTCTTTTTTAATTTGCTAAGAATTTAAGAATAATCCATAGTCTTGTAAATCATATCTCATGCAATCAGAAATGAATGAATCTTGTGCCATTTAGAATCAAATGAACTGATAATGGTATATGTCTTTCTGGGTTAAATTCCACTTAATCAGATACATTAGATATTCTCCTAGCATTCATATATTCATGATATACAATCCCATATATGTCTACCTATAAATAAGTCCCTACTTACTTACATATTGAATTTTACCCTTATATTGCTTAAAATTAGATGCTTTAACCAATTACATTATTTCAACGAGATATGGAAAATTTAATTTTAGATAAAAAAAATTACGTCTATCAAGTATCCACAGCACTTTAACAATATACCGTATAGAAAACAAATAAAAAAGAACAAAAGAAAACAGAAAAATCCTATTTGGAAAACTATAGGTCAAATCTTGCTTATGAAAGTAAATTTTATAATACTACTCATAATAAAATCAGCTAAGATTTTATATACCATCTTTAAAGTTATTTAATTTGTTCAAAACATTTATGTTCCTGACAGGTTATAGGTTATCATGTTTGACATCAAAATAAAACAATAAAATCAAGTGCAATAAATAGAAGAAAATGAACATATACAAATTACCAAAACTATAACCAAAGTAACCATCTCCTGGCAGCTTTCTTCTGGCAGCCAATAAACTCCAGTGAAGGCAACCAAGCAACACAAATAACAAAAGTATACTCATCTGGCAAAACACAAAACAAAACAAAAAGACAGAGGCCAAGACCACAGATAATCTGATAATAAACCCTCACTAAGAGCCTGCCAAATCTTAATGGTGATACTTAATGGTGCCCTCTCGAAAGAGAAACTTACTGAAAAAACTATCCTCCCTAACTGTAGATATAAAGCCACAAATGGTCCATTTTCCTGACCACTATGGGGATAAATTCTTTAAAGGTTAAAAAAAAAGGAACTATGTTCCTAACCTTATCCTGATGCTTAAGCCATTGTCTCTTTCCCAGGCTATTAACCCCTTCAGACAATAGCCAGAGACAATTCCTGCTGCTGCTAAGGGTTTTCCATGTTTTACAGATGTTGATATAGTTGAGAAATTTTAGGGGGGCAGATATCTATTATATGTTTGTTGTAATTATATACATGATATAGCATTGTATCTAAATGTCTCTTGACAGAAAGATTTATCCATGCACTTATTAAGTATAACCCTTTATTTACATTTGGAACTTCTCAAATCATTTAGACAAGAGAAAGTTTTGTTTCTTGTGTGATGAACAAATTGCACAAAACTGCAAAAATCTGAACTGAAACAATGGTTTAAAAAAGCATATAGAACTATGTTTCTAATAATATGTTGATTAAAAAGCTCAATAGTTTGTATAGAATTGCTTTTTTAATATTTTTAACATTTTAAAGGAAGCAAAGAGTAAATGAGCACGCAGGAAAAAAGTTAAAAAATATAAGAAAAAATAGTTGATACGGAGATAAAATAACAGTAGGTGGATAAAGGAATTACTGAGATTGTACAGTCAATGTTCAGTATATTATTTATGAGAAATTAACCATAAACATACTATAAATTATTTTAGCTGGATTTTTTTATTCAGTTTTATTATTTTTATTTCAGTCAATGCAATAGATTATGATATAGATTATGATATGTTATATATCTGAATTGGTCTCTCCACACGTCATCCTTAGTGAAGGGTGCAAACCAGTGTCTGCATTTCCTGCGTCGGATGAGGAGAGCACATCTCTCCTGTCCTGGCCACTTTTTACAGAGGCATGATTGAGAGCATTTTAACAAACTGCACCTCTGTCTGGTTTGGTGGCAGCAGTGCCTCAGATAGAAGGTCCATACAGAGAGTGGTAAGAACAGCTAAAAAGATTCTAGGAAGTCTAATTCCCATTATTCGGGATGTTGCTT